TCTATTAGTATCTCCCGAAGGATATACGGCCAATGGTGGAGCCAGGATTTGTAGCTTATGAGTTCGGCATTGTAGTCTGTTTAAGTTACTGGATTCTCAATTAATAATGTGTACATATTCAATGAATTTTTTAAAATTAATACATAGTTTGGACCAAAGCTACTGGGTTCGGCCATACCCGTAAAGTGTATGCTAGCTCTGCTGCTGGATACGGCCTATAAACCTTCTAGAGGGGCACTCATATGCCTGCAAGCATGATTGCAACAGAGGCGGAGCTAGAATTTGAAGCGTATGGGTTCGGAGTTCTAATCCTTTTAAGTTAGTGGGTTCTAACTTAATAATTTGTATATATTCAATAGATTTTTTAAGACAAATATATAGATTGGACCAAAGTGACTGGGTTCGACCGAATCCATACTGAATGGGCTAGCTCCGCCCCTGGATTGCAACATACATTATCTCCTTCACCACCAATGGCCTTGGCGACTAGGATGTTGGGCACATGCCCATGTTGTCCAGCCAAAGGCCCAATGGCCTAATCCTATTCTCTTTTGGTTTCTATTCCTATTCGGAATTGGATTCGGTTTTTGTTCCTATTTAGAGTTGGTTTTGGCTTTAAGAGAAACCACCACTCATGATCTATAAATAGGACAAACTTGTAGAATTATTCTATGCTCATTGATACAAGTCTTTGAAAGACTTAAGCACATAAGAGTGGGATTTAAAAGAGCTTTCATCAAGAGAGAAGAAAAGTATTTGTTTTGTTGCAGATTTTTATTCCGACCAGCCAACTTCAAATTACGTTTTCCGATACGTTAACCGTTCGATCGGGCTGATGTTTTGACTGAGTGTTCGTAACATCTTGGTCTTGAATTTGAACGGTGAAGATCGGATTTGGAGGCTCGTAGCATCTGATTTTGAGCCTGGAACAACAGCTTCGTTTTTGTGGATACTCTTTCTTCAATTGATTAGTTGTTTCTCTTGTTGCTATTGTTGCTCCGTGTTTGGCCCTTGTTGTGTAGCCAATTTGGAGAACTTTTGTAACCCTCTTATTGTTATAGTGAAACTTTTTGGATCTTTGTAATCCCGTGGTTTTTACCTTCAGGGGCGGATTTACATGTAAAAATTGGGTGCTCGAGCACCCATTAACCTCGATACGATGTATGTACAGTTATATTGAAAATTTAAGAAAACTTATATAATATAGTAACAAGCACCCAAGTAACAAAGGACCTGGTGGCTGCTTTGGTTTTACCATGGGTGTTGAAGTGCTGCCTATATCAAAGGTCGGGAGGTCGAGTCTCCTTACTAGCATTCTTCTTTTCTTACATCAAGCACTATCTTTCTTTTTGACCCAATACCACTACTTTATTTTTTTGCTTCTGACTTTGTTTTACCTTCTTTCCTTTTTATTTTTCAACTTTTTCTTTTTTACTTTATCTAATTCACTATAGCGAAGAAAGAAAAAGAAAATTCTCTTTAAAAAAACAAAGAGTTCCTCCAAAGCAGCAAAATCCACTAATTTTTTTTCTCGCTTCACAGATTTACGGCGTGAGTAATGTTAATATTATGGTTTTTCTATTTATTTTCTTATCGTCGTATTTAAATAGTTGTACATTTATACGAGGTGAATAGCAGTAACTTCACATCGAAAAAAGTTAAGCACCCACGAATCTAAAATCCTGGATCCGCCATTGTTTACCTTCGATTTGAAGGGTTTTCCACGTTAAAATTTAGTGTTCTTTATCTTCTTTATTTTCGGGTTTGCCTCTTCCTTAACATAACAGTGGTATCAGAGCGAGGTTCAAGACAGGTTCATCTTGGCGGGTTCAGTTCTAGCTGCAACATATTTGACGATAATCGTGATTTTTGTCTGAGAAATTTGACCAGTATGCTACGCATGTTGAGACAAACTTTTGCGGTGGAAATTTGGAGATGCGACTTGTTGAATGAAGGCTATGTGAAGAAGGTGGATCAAGTTTATTTTGTCAGAAATTCAGGCCAAGGGGGAGAATTGTTAGGTGTTTGTCGAGATTTTCTTACCATAATTGGTTTTCCTATTTCATGAAGGAAAAGACAACATATTTACCATAATTGGGTTTTTCTTTTCCTAGAGGGAAAATATAATTCTTCTATATTTGGCTAGTTCCTTTTCTTGTAGGAAAAGGTTTGGAGTTCTATAAATTGAAGATCCGTCATTCTCATTCAGTAGCATCCACAATGTAACCATATGGGGTTTGAGAGTCGTGTTTAGGGGGAGAACTTTACGGGACAAGTTTTAGTGTGTCACTTGTGTTTGCCTCTTTGTGAGGTTGTTCTCTTGATATTTGTACTCTCTTTTTATTATAGTGGATTGCTGATTCATCTCCGCCGTAGACGTAGGTCAGTGGACCGAACCACGTTAAATGTTTGTGTCTCTTTTGGTAGATTTCTCTTTTGTTGTCTCATTTATCGTCGTTGAAGGTTTGCTTTATTAGCTTTTGCAGAACACCTGACTTTTTCCGATCCTAACACAGGAATCTCGTTAAAGATGTTCAAGATTTCCTACCAAGGAGAAAGTTAACGCTTCGTATGTACTGGAGTGCCAGAAAAGTTAAACTTACCCCTGCACCGCGAGTGAACAAGATAAAAAGAGTGAATGTATTCATCAATTTATGTCAATATAATTGCCAATTCTATTAAAATTGTATGCCACATTTAGCTAACTTTTCAAACGTAGAATGTATATATCAGCTTTACAAAGTTTATATATGGGATACCTTTTATGTAAATTTCCTCTTCTATCAACAGAGGAATATGGATTAATATGTAAGCCGAAGGATCTTGAAACATTACTTACTTTATAATTATTTCATCTAAAACTTAATCATGGTAAAAGTGTACATCTTAGTTTATTAGTATTATTATATACTGTAATTATGTTCAATGTTTTCACCGACCTTATCTTCCAATAATTCCAACATCGCGACTCCCTATGATTAGCACAAAATAAATAAAATAATAAAAAGACGAAAAAAGAAACCAACTTGTCATTTGCCATTTTGCCATCCGAACCCAAAGCATTGAAAAATGACGAATATAGTCTCTTTTCTTTAGGATTGATTTAAAATAGTCCTATAAATTTACATTTTAGTAGTTTTAGTTCTTTATGTTTATTAGAACTAACGCCTATGCTATATTGGGACGGACATCTCTAGATTAAAAATAATCTTATTCAACCCAACGCACCCAACACTTTTTTCTACCTACTATTATCTGAAATAGCGATTGAATCAAGTTTATGTCTAAATCGAATCATTAATATTATTATTTATTGCTGAAGCATTACGGTTGAGTTGTTTCATAAGGTGCATATTCAGGCAAATGAATTAAAAAAAAGGTCCATTCAAATTATTTTTTTCATTTTAAACAGGTCACCTACTTCTCGCAAGTCAATTCCATCAAATTATTGTATTGTTTTTTTCTATAAATATACAGAGGCAAAAGTGCCTTATTTTCATTCTCCATTTCTTCCATATTCTTTAGGATGGCTGTTAGCGTGCCGTCGTTGGTCTATGCCTCGATGGGTTTGTTATTTGCTCGTGCAGCTTCAGGTTCATCCACGGCAGCAGTGGTACCTACCGTTGGTATACACTCGACGTTACTTTGTGGTGACTTCTCAACCAAGCCACTTAGAGTGCTTGTTAGCCATTCTTCCAGTAGCTTCTTGACCACTGGGGGTGCTTCCTTAGCCGCAGATGTGGAAGCTCCTTTTTCATGCAAGATCGTCAGATCTTCGGATGGGGAAGATGAGATCTCTGCACCTGGCGTGATGCTAGGGGTTGCATTCAAAATGTCCTCGTCACCGGCCTCGTTGAGAGGATCAAGGAGATTGGCTGTAACACCTACTATCGCTTTCATTCTGGTGTTATTTTCAGCCATCTTTTGTTTTCGTGTGGTGTAGAGAACGGTAGTTGGTTGCTCTCTAGGTGGATACTATGATTTTGATTCTCGAAATCCCCACAGACGGCGCCAAATTATTTGGCTCAAAAGTTATCGATATACTTTGCAAGCTTAAGAACAATCAAAAGTAGGAAAGGGTAAATCGTAATCAAATATAATAGACCTAGAGATGAAAAATGAAGTTGTTGTTGAAGATCTAATAGTGTAAAATGATAATATGAACTCAAGAGAAAGTATTCGTTAGAGAAAGAGATAGAGTAGGAAAAAATGAGAGAGTTGTATTCTTCAAGAATAATCCCCTCCCTTTACAATGTGAAGGTCTCCCTTATATAGTAGGAGACCTCCCTCGAAATAATCAAAAAGATACATAAATAGGTAACGTTTTCCTAGTGAAGACACAGAGTCTTAAACGATGTCGCTTTTGTCCCCACGTCCAAGTCGTACCCTTACGTTAGTTGACGTATACTCACTGGGCATACCCATTGGCGTAGAGACGTTGACGGTCAAATTTGACCCTATATAGTCTTAATTCTGAACCAATCTATTTATATATAAAAGGAGAAGCAAATCCATGATATTATGCCAAGTGTCATCACAAAATATTGACATGTGTCATGTTTTAAGACAAAACTCCAATAAATTTGGAGATTCAAAAAAAATCAAAATCAAAATAAAATTACAAAATTTTAAAGAACTAACCAATTCAGTTATTCAATAGTCACACGTTGAGCACATCTTTTGTAAAACTGAAAAGTAAAAAAAAAAAAAATTACTCCAATTCCAAAAAATGGGCCCATGTTTTTTCATAAGTTTTTTTGTTTAATTAATTTTAAACCTAAAAATTCGACAATTTTTTTTACATTGAAATAGTAATAAACAAAAGAAAAAAATACTCCACGGCCGTCTATTCAAGAAAATGGAGTTTCACATTTTTTCATTAGTTTTTTTATTTAATTTATTAGAAATAGGAAGAGAGGAAAAAAATCACTCCACGATGGTCTTCCCAAAAGTGGGCATCAAAACCTAACTCCATCAACTGTCTCCTAATGTCCCAAACGTCTCTTCCTCCTTTTATTTTATTCGCCATTCCTTTTTTGTACAGAACTTTGCAAATATGGCTACAACACTTCATGAAATTAGTCAAATTTTAAGCAATTCGATGGAATGAAATCTGTAAGTGAGAGTTGTTCGAATGTGAAAAATTCCGGATCGTTTCAAGCCTCATATACCATATTTCATAGAGTTAATTTTGCAAGATAAAAAGGTAACATATTCAACTTTCATGTAGTTATTGAGTAAATCCTCTTCTCTGCCGTTTGATTTCATAAATTTTTCTTATTTCCAAATACATGAAGATGTATTATTGAAACTATTATATATACTACCTGTTTTGCTCTTTCATGTTAATAATATTCTGATTATTTTTTTCGTTTACAAAGATAATCCAAAAAAAATCAGGTTACATGATTTTTTAATTTTAAGGTTATTTTTAAGGACAAAATTTTGGTAATCGAATTTTCTTGGCTCTGTAATATCTTATGCATCACTATATTCTGAAATTATTGCTACTTATTGTAGTCAGTAGGCAACATGCCGCGAAAATCATATATGAGTTCTGGAACTAGACAATTTTGTCCTTTGTTCATTAGTTGTGTTTGAATAGTTAGCAGGAGACTTTGTTTGTGGAGTCATTTTTGGAAGAAAAAAAAATAGTGATTTCAGATTTTGTTTATGCAATTTTATGTCACAGAGGCTTATTGCACGATGCTCTTACTCAACTTGCTAACTCTGGTATGAATTCTTTTTGTTCCACATAGCCTCAAAGTTCTAAGACCATTTATATAAATCGTTATTTCATTGATATGGAACGAACCATAGCAATTAGTACAGTTTACCTATAGTGAATCTTTGTACTTAATATTATCTATTATGTTCAAAGTAAATCTCTGGCAGATATTATATATGGCCGGCTCACATAGCAGTATGATACATCCTAATAATGATTGTACGTACCTTTCTATCGCGCTGCGAAAATTATATATATGAGTTCTGGTCAAGTCGTCAAGTTGTCAAGTTACTAACATGAGGTATATATACCGATCCAAAAGTGTCCTTCATCTGAGATGCTGCACATTTTATTTAAGTCTATATAGATACTAACATTGGAATCATAATTTTAAATAACTCCAAATAGGCAAAGTACAATCGTACATAGTATCACTGTAGAAGCTTTCATTGATTATCACTTCACCAATAATAAGCTTATTTAAGCAAGTACATGTTAAATTAATAGATTGTTATTTCATTGATATGGAACGAACCATAGCAATTAGTATAGTTCACCTATAGTGAATCTTTGTACTTAATAACATCCATTATGTTCAAAGTAAATCTCTTTCAGATGTTATATATGGTCGTCTCACATAGCAATATGATACATCCTAATAATGAATGTACCTTTCTAGGGTAATTGTATACATGCCTCAATAGGAAAGTATGTAATTAAGTTCTTTAGGACTAAGATACAAGAACTCGCCTTATATCGCATGAACTTCTTTGTTATCGGGCCAAATAACTTGAAAACTACGACATATAATTTGAGGCTGACATTTACACAGAGGACAGTTGTTGAGGTAACAACTGGCTCTTCATTTCATATGAAAATCTTTAATCTTTGTCCTTTTGATAAGCTAACAAATCAATATCATGTGGATGAGGCAGAATTATCCGGTAATTCTTCACTTCCATTTTGTTTTAATATTAGGTATTGTAAACTTTGCGACTAACTTTTATATTTGTGGATGTGATTGGTTAGGTTGTGATCTATGGAGCTGTTCAGACCTACAAGCAAGGAGATAACAAAAGTGTCTTTATGAATGTTAAACTCGAAGATGAGCAGTAAGTCATTCACAAATACAGACTATACTTTTACAATATAACTACATATATTTTTGTTGATGGACAATTACCTTGAATCATATAGGAGGAACAGGATTTCAGCAACCTTATGGGATGAACTTGTGGATGAAATTCAACCTCACTTAAATTAGATGAACCTTTGATTGTTGTTTTACCTACTTATGAAAGCTCAAAATTTTTGAGGTTTACATATTTTACATCTACATTTGAGATTTAGTTTCAGAAAATTTTATAATTTCAAATTTTTATTTTTATACATAGGTAACTACTCAATGCGTAGCTGTTGGTATGCTTCCACACTATAGATAAATTCTACTTTGCCGCAATCTATTGAGTTTAAATCTAGGTTTGTAAGGGTATAAATGTTGTATTTGTTTGTGCAATTCACCTTATACATGCTTTTTACGCATATGTTGTACAACAATTAATGGAACTCTTTTAGAATACATGACAGACGACAGTTAACATCAGCAACAATAAAAAGAAAATATCAATAATTTTTTCGGTCTTCACTTGGTAGATATATTTGTAGATTCTACCATCATGCATAGGATTAAAGAGTAGTGTATAGAGTTCATATAAATATTGTATCT